TAAAACTACAAAGCAGATTGTCCTGAGGTTTGAATGTGTTGATCCCACATGCAGAGCTAAGAAAATGTTGGCGGTTAGGAGGTGCAAGCATTCTGAACCAGGAGGTGGGTAAGAAGAGAAAGGGTCAAGTGATCCAGTTCTAAGTTGATTTTGTAATGAAGACATTAAAATAATGAGAATATATGAAAAAAAGTAAAAGAAGAGGTGCCAGGAATTTTGCTGTGGGCAATTCGGTGACACTTTCCCTTGAGAAAATGAGAGGTGATCTCATTCTTTTTTCTAATCCTTGTGGTTTACATACTATTTAATATCAATCCTAACTTTACACTTATAACTTTGCATATCAATGGATATGGGTTTACTAAAATTTAAAAATGGCAGTGATTATCAGGAAGCCACATGTTGAAAGATTCTGAAAAACATCCCATTGCTACCATTCAATAATCATAAAACTTATGAAGCATGTATCTTTAAATTGGAAGTGGAAAACTATTTTCCTAAAATAGGAAGAGGGTAAAAATTGTGTTTATTTGCTTTAGGAAATAATGTATTTCATTATAAATAGTAAAGAGTGAAACATTAGATATAATTATAGCATTTTACTCTTTTGCTAAAATGATATCCTTTCAAAATAAAATTATAACTAATAAAAAGCAAGCTCTTTTTTCCTCTTCTCTGGCTTTGGCTTGGGGAGAGGGATATTTTCTTCTGTGTTTTAACTTTTAGCTGCAAACCATCAAGGCAGTAACTATCATTGACATGGTCATAAGCTTTTTAATCTGGATCTGTGAAGGGAAGTCCTTGTGAGGAGGAGTTCCACAATTCTTTATGACATGGTCATTGCAGATGGCTGATGACACACCAGTAGAAAGAGCTGAGGCACTGTTACAAATGGAAGTAGGAACTTTAGTGAACCTTCCTCAGAAACAGAGAATCTCTTTTTTCATGCAAACAGTACTGAGGATGATGACTGTAGATGAATAAGTGTACTATCAAGAAATTATGTCAGGCCTTTCTCAGTAAAATTTCTAGGAAGGAACAAACCCACAGTCTTGTATATAGTGTCACAAATAAAATTTATTAGGACATAATCACCGGCAAAGTTTCTGTTTGCTTCAAAACTGACAATGGCCTTTACAAAATAAACTTTTGCTGGGCATGGTGACACACACCTTTAATCCCAGCACCTGAGAGGCAGAGTCTGGCGGATCCCTGTGAGTTCAAGGCCAGCCTTGTCCACACAGTGAGTTCCAGGACAGCTGGGGCTACAGGGAGAACCCGTCTCAAAAAGACCAAAAAAAAAAAAAAAAATCAAAATAAACTTCTGAAAAGATAGACAAAGCATTCCTTTTAACATAAATGATAAACAATAACTAATCATATCCCTAAGAGGGAACACAGTTTATATTCCGGATCGCAGCAGAAGCCAACCCAAACTCTGCCCAGGTAACTTCTTAATGACACAAGGTTAATGGTAAAAAACACAGTGGAAATAGAAAATGCCATGAAGAATTTCTATTATAAACCTTTCACCTCACAGATACACAAAGCATGTTGCATAACAGTATGGCCCTCCTTGCTTCCTTGGTTTATGTTGATGCTTTCTCTAGTCTCCTGTTAGTTCAAGGCTCTATTAGTCATTCTAGTGCTTTGAATAGGGGCTGATTAAAATAGATGTTGGTGTGGCTTATTTTTAATAGCCCTTCAGTGATTATTACCTGTGTGAACAGAAAAGAGCTATTTCTACAGAAGACTTGTTTGTGGAAAGGGAAAAGTCCACTTAGTTCTGAATTTTGCCATTAGTTCTCCAACCATAATTTCAACATTTAACTATTATAATGTAAAGCAATATTATCTCATCTAGAGGAGATTTAAATATTCTGTATGGTGTATCTATTATTACAAGGGTAAGAATTCTTTTATTTCTGAGCTACTCTATTTATTGTTGATAGTTTAGGGTTCAGTATTTTATGATTTATTTATGGCTTTCTCTGTTTTGTTCCGCAAATACACTAAGTGCATTCTTGAGTATCTGTTCTAAAGTTCACCCTTTTTGAAATGTCCTTTTGCTTCCTCTACAGGTAGCCACATCTTGGCCATTCTAAAACCTGTTCCTCCTTCCCTTTGCTGTGAAGTATTCCTTCATAGCAGCTTAGAGTGACATTTCCTTTCTTTGCATGTTTCTAGTTATTTTCTATCTGTGTTTATTTCTTGTCTTTCCAACTAAGAAGACTCTTGGAGACAGAGATTGTTTGCTACATATTTCTGCATCCTTGGCAATTTGCCCAATGTCATACAAAAATTAGGCTACTTATAATTTAATAGTACTTTTGGTTGCAAGTTACAGAAACCAAACTCACATATTAATTCAAATAGCAAAGAGCGAATCTGGCCGAATGACTAGGTCAGGATTGCAAATTTATCATCAATAATCCATTCTTTTCTGCTCATACCTTCTGTTTCTCTTTGCCTTGACTTCGTTGTTTCATAGGAACTTCCTAAATTGTGCCCTCTGGTAGAAGAGGGAGAGCTGCTGTCTCAGTAATCCCCAAATTCAGAGTTGATGTTTTCTGACGTTATTGGCTATTCCTGAGCTTTTTGTTTATCCTAGACTAATCTAATTGTCAGAAGATTGAGCCATGTTGTGCTGAGCCAGTGAGTGAAATTGATGGCTCTCTCCCTAACATAGGCATCAAGACTGGAGACAGACTTGTCGTCCATTAGGAAAAAATGGGGGTGAGTTGAGTCATTCTTGTGCTATCATTATGGAAAATAAGCACTGAACAGGCAAAACCTGGAATTTTCAGATCGATCAATAAATATCTTTGTAGGAAAACACGGCCTTTACATTAAAAATATATCATGGTTAGGAGAGTGCTTCCCAGTCACTGTTGGGGTAGATATTATGACCTGTGTCTGTGGTTCCCCACTGACATATCACCAGTGTTAGAAGGCTTTCAGTCTCAAGGGTGGATTGATAATGTTTCAAACTCTTCAATTGGATTTCAAAGTTCTTTTGTTGAAGAGTGAACAGAACTATAATGAAATATCTCATGAGGTTTGTGATGATATTTGCCAGATGATATTATGATAAAAATAAGCAGTACTATTAACAAATTAAACCTCAAGTCCTATGTCCTAGTTTTAAAAAATGTTTTTATTGAGTTTTTGTGCATTTCATATAATAGATTTTGATAAAATTTGTACCCCCTCTCCCTCATAGCCTCACCCCCACTGAATTTAATGCATTCTGTCATATATGTTGTTTTATCTGGTCAACCATTTATAGCCAAATGTTCATCGGTACAAGTTCGTCCATTGGAGTCTAATCAGCCTATCTAGAGTCACTTCTGTAATGAAAATCTATGTCTCAGTTTTGAGAGGTACATGGATTTAAGAGCGCTTCCCCTTATCCCTTTTTTGTCATGGTGTAGAACAAAACAAGGCCTTGAACATGCTAAGGTTGTGATTATTTCAACTGTGATTATTTAAGATATTTATAATATACTGGGTCTCAAGCTTTTATTTATTTATTTGTTTTGAGACAGGGTCTCTCTGTAGCCACAGATGGCCTTGAGCTCACTATGTATACCAGGTTGGTCTTCATCTTACAGAGCTCTGCCTGCCTCTGCCTTCAGAGTGCTGGGATTAAAGACATGGGCCATATGCCCAGCCCCTGGCACATTTTTTGACTATCTGTTTTATGAATAGAGAAGATCAGAGATAACTGAAGTATAAAGTTTTAAGTCATGTATGGAATAACTTGATGGGGACCAGCAACGATTTTAATGAACATTGCAGACAGTGAACAAATGAGGTTAAGAGGATTAATTTCAATGTAGGAAATTGATACAAGAGAGGAAAAGCTAAGAAGCTACTCAGTAAATATTTGCTGATTAGCAATTAAAACCCCTTTCAAATAGGAGTCAAGTTCATGTAGAGTGTGTATGCATTTTCATGTTCATCCCAAGCACTGTATGTTTAGACTAGGTACTAGTGTTTTGATAAAAGCACATATGAATCTTTATCATTTAAATTTTGTTTAGTGTTAGCTATACCTTTGTCAAATGGTTAAGCTTGTTTACATGTGATAAAAGAACAAATCAAGTATAAAGGGAATAATATGTCCTTTAGAAGTCAATGTTCTGAAACCTCTAAGAAAGTGACTATTTATTGCAATCAAAAATACTTATTGAGAAAGCCAGGCTTGGTGGTACATGCCAGTGATCCCAATACTTGGAATGCGGAGGCATAGAATCAAGAATTCAAACCCATCAATTGCCAAAAGTTCCTTAGGTTGGGTTGGGATTTCTTACCCACTTCCTAGTCTCTATGCTGGGATTTTTGTACGTAAGCTGTCACCATTGCTGTGAGTTCATGTGAGGAAGTGACCAGCTGTCTGGAAGACTTGGCAGTTGGTGGCTGCTGGGACGGGGAAAGGCAGTGTTTTACAGGGATGAAACTCTTGGTGGGCCCAGTGGATGGACCCACACTGAGGGGCATTTGGGGACACAAATTTGACTCTCTAGGCCTTATTACTCATATATATACATATGTATATATATGAGTACATTAAAGGGGGTGGGCATTCGTGGGGGAAGTTATGCAGAGGGAAGGGGATCTAAGTACTATCAAAAGATATTGTATGAAAATTTCAAAAATTCAAGTAAAAATTTTAACTATGTAAAAACATCAAAGCCAGGCAGGGGGTGGTGCACACCTTTAATCCCTGCACTTGAGAGGCAGAGACAGGTGAATATTATGAATTTGAGGCCAGCCTGGTCTACATAGTGAGTTCCAAGCCATTCAGGGGTACGTACTGAGACCCTGACTCAAAAAAACAAAGCAACAACAACAACAAAACAAATTCAAGGTCATTCTCAGCTACCTAGTGAGTTTGGGCTGCACAGGACCCCTTTTCAAATACAAAACAAAACAACCTTAGCCTCAAACCCTATTTATTAACACTTTCTTAATCACTTTCACTTTTTATGTTTCAGAACTGGAAGATAAGCAAAAATCTACAGCTGATACCTCTTCAAATATTACTTTGTTCTTACCAGTGTTTTGATCAGCGAGGTCCTGATCTCTTTGAAATTGCTCAGGAGTAGCACAGGTGAGATGCTCCTTCTGATTTTCATTGGGCCAGTATGCCCTCGGCACATGCTTCATTTATGCCCTATGTATTATGTCATTCCCTGTCTGGTCTCTGTCAATTTATTAAGCAAAGGAAAACAAATCATCCACTTACAGTAATTTCAGTTTAAGGACTAGTCTGCTGCTAGACTGTGCAGGTTATAGAGACACTTTTTTTGTTTGTTTTAGCTTAAAAACAAATTAACAAATGGAAAAAATTAAGATCTGCATGATACATGAGTGTTGATCTTCCACCTCTTTTTGAGTTCCACTTTCCATTCTAGACAATTTAATGAGGCAAAGTGTTTCATTGGAATGTTTCACAATCAAAAGAGACTCAACTTTTAGCTAGATATTTTCAGGATTTTCTTTGAGCCAGTAACACTTGTTTCTAAGATGAAAATCTTCATGTAGCTTAAAACTGGAAGCTCAGGTATGGAAACTCCTATCATCGTTTGTTTTCAAGGTTTTGATTTTTGTTTTTTAATTTTTGGAAAAGAGAAAACTGATAGGTGCCAGGACAGTGGTGCTGGAGCGAGAACTTGGCCTATTTTCTTGAAGAAAAACAGAAAACTAGGAAAAGAAGTTATAAAATTATATGGTGCACTTTGCCTAGATCTGTGGTTCCTGAAAGTGGTTTTCATTCAGTACTATTCATGACTTGAGATTTTGTTAGAAGTGAAAATTATCTAGCTTTACCCTTGAACTGGACTACTTAATCAGAAATCTAGTGTTGCCCAATGATTTGTGCGTCCATAACCCTCAGGGTGATTTGCCTGTGTACTCAAATTTGAGAACCACAGCTTAATCTAATTTTCAGGAAAATTAATCATCATTTCACATTTAAACTCCCCTGGTGTGCTGGATAGCTTTAGTGTCAACTTGACACATCTGGGTTGAGGGAGCCTCAATAGGGGAATTGCCTCCATTGGACTGGCCTGTGGCCATGTCTGAAGGGCATCTTCTTGATGAGTGATGTGGGAGGGTCCAGCCCACTGTGGGTGGTGCCACCCCTGGGCAGGTGGGCCTGTGTTGCATAAGAAAGCAGGCTGAGCAGGGGCCAGGGGAGCAAGCCAGTAAGCAGTGTTCCTCCATGGCCTGTGCTCCAGCTCCTGCCTCCAGGTTCCTGCCCTGAGTTCCTACCTTGGGCTCCCTGATGAACTGCGACCTGGGAGATGTAAGACAAATAAACCCTTTCCTCCCCAAGTTGGTTTGGTCAGAGTATTTTGTCACAGCAATGAAGAACAAACTAGGACAGAGATTGTGGTATCAGGAGTGGTTCTAGAGAAACGGAATTGAAAGGATGGATTTCTTTAATGGGCTTGTTGTTATTTGGAGCAGGCTCTCCAACTCAGTCTTCAGATAGCATGGAGAGTACTGAAAATCCGTGGTGTAGACTATTTGAAACAATTATGGAGATAGACCCATTTGAATCTCCTAACTCACCTCTTGTGAAGAGCAAGAAATTTAGTGACTCTATACATAAAACGTTTGATGATTTGTGGAAAAATAAGAAAAATAATGATGCTGGCCTGGGTCTGCGAGACGAGCTGAGTGTGCTGTGGAGTGCAGAGTCAGAGCAGTGGAGCTGACAGCACCCTTTGGAGCCCAGAGGATTGTGAGTGAATCCCGGATGTCCAGCCTCAAGTTACTTTGCTGGACTTTGGTTTTGCTTAGGTGTGCCCGATTCTTCCCTTTGAAATAAGACAGTACATGTTTTGGATTTTACAGAAGCCCACCCACAGTTGAGAATTTTAAAAGAGACTATGGACTTTAAAGTGTTTGGATATTTTAAAGACTGTGGGGTTTTTAAGGTTGTACTGTCTTAAGTTGTGATATTAATGTTAACATCATAGTTTGGGGACAAGAATTGGAAAACTTATGGTTTAATAGTGATGTGTTTGTGTGTCAAGTTGACAAGGGGTCAATTGTACTGGATAGCTTA